TGTGTCAATTGTCAATTGCCAATTGGTAAGGTGATTTTGTACGAGGGAGGCAAAAGGGTCATCTGGGATTTAATTACCTTGAATAATTTTGGGTGCCTAGTGAGATCCAGCTGTACATTTCTTGATTAAATGTTAATGGCAAGTTTTAAAGATGATTAAAATAGTTTTCGTTAGCTGTTTATAACCTCTATCGATTTAGTATTTTGACGAACATTGATTTGCTTATCCTGAGATATGAAGGAAGCCAATGAGTTCGATTAGGTTTCTAGAATAGAAAAGTTTACTGAGCGTTGGATATGCTTACATATTGTTTGCGGCTACCTCTGAGAGGTAGAGTCACGGTAGTATTTTGAGATAAAAGCCCTATTGAATCTTCCACGTGCTTTCGGGTTCTGCATGTTGGATGATTATTGATTTGAAGCCAGTATGTGGTAAAAACTGAAACCAAATAATGTTTAGTGGTTTTGTAAGGATACAAATCTAAGAGTCTGTGATGCATAAATTTTGTTAACTACAGATTTTAGGATAAAACAAATAATACGGTTTTCAACTTACTTGAGAAATTCAATTACATAAACAATTTTCTTACAATCATTTCCATATTTAAATGATATTTGTTTGGGCAAGGATGTCTCGCGTGCATCCAACTTTTCAACTGTATAATGTGTTTATAGTTTGGAAGGAGTAGTGGTGGTTCATGCTTCCATTTTGACAATACCGTGATAGTTTGTGTCCTTTGAACCAATGTATAAATGTGTGCATTGGTATCATTTTTTATTCTGCACTTTTGATGGTGCTGTAAGTGCCTTCGGGGATGTATGACAAAGCTTTTTAGAAAAGTTTAGGAGGTTTTGATAAGAGTTCATAAAATGTGTGGTTGAAAAGTTGATATTAATTGTGGGTCTTTTAAATATGTGGTTAAAATTGAAGTTTGACTAGTTGAAAAGTTGATAAAATTTTAGCAAAGGTTTATCAAACAATTATTAAGTCCAGATTTTGGTTATAAATCATGGAAAGGGAAACCGTTACCTCCCTATTTAATGCTAAAAACAGACTCTTGGAGAGGTTTATGCAAATATGAATGGAACTTTTATGTATTTCGATACATTTTCATAGGAAAATGTTCAATCTTTTAACCATTCTTGCCAATTTTTCATTCTGGGAGCAATTAAGACTGATTCAAACACAGTTTTTCATTAAATGTATCATCTTTGAATAAGGTCACTCTAGAGTTTCCCTTATATGAAGAAGCACTTCACTGTCGAATTACTAAATAAGGAGCACGAGTAAATGGATCCAAACCTCACTTTCCTAGGAAAGCCTAAATCAGGATGTGACTTACAAATAGTAAGATAATGGTTTGCTATCCCACTAAAGTTATTTTGTCATCTTCCCATCAGTCATTTTGAGGAAGTAGTTGTGGCCCAGGTCAATGAAATCAATCTTCTGTTTGAACTCGACATTTTCGTAATTTTCTTACTGAGAAATTTGCACCTCATAGTCTTAACCAGACCCTCACTAAGCATTTAGGCTACAGATTATGCTGGCAGCTTTAGGTATACATTTTAAATTTAAATGAATTTATCACCTTTGGATTGCTTTGAACCCACTTAGAATTGATTTAATCTTCCTTCATTGCATGAAACTCTGCTAGGCTTTAAGAACCTATTTAAATTTTGGCAGCTGATGGAAATATGATTTGATAGATGTAACATTTTGGAATGTTGTAAAATATGGAATTGGCTATGCTGTGTCTTTAATCTCTCCTTCTCCCAATGAATTTTGTTATGGGATAAAACATATTATTTAGATTCTAAATTTTTGTTCTCATTTGATGCCAAACCGAACTAGTCCCAATGTTGTCATCTAAAGCCCTTGTACTCTTTCCTTGAATGCGATTACATTAGTGTAGCCTAAATTGAATACGAAGCAATCCAATGATACCAATATGTTCTGTGACCATGTTTCTTAGTCAAGTAGTTGCGATCTTTGCTAATGAATTGTCTACATGCAGCTGCATTTGGAGCAGTCTTGCATGTGATGTCTACTGCTTTGCTAGGTATAACTGCAATTACCATAACAAACACTATTGCGGGCGAGGAAACTGTGCATAAACTTGCATCTTTACTGCTCATTGTTCTTGGTGGTGGTTATATCATATTATTTCTATCTGGAAAGGGCGGTCACAGCCATTCCCACAACCAACCTATGGAAAAAATGGCAGTTGCTGGACTTGTTCTGGTACCTGCATTGTCTCCTTGTGCAACCACTCTTCCTGTATTTCTTGCCGTTGGAAACTCATCCTCTATGATGGTGTTTGCTATCATAGTTCTGCTATTCAGGTATCATTGGATTATTATATTCCTTTTAAATAAGGGCGCTTTTGTTGTGTTTATTATATTCCTTTTAAATATAAGCATTTCATGTTTTAGTTTTAGCAGTTAAATATGGTTTTCTATTGGAGAACTTGATCAAAAGCTTGAGCTTTTAAAGAGAGTAACATTATATTAGTAAAATCTTATCTTCAACATGCCCTCTCACATGTAAGAGGGCTCATTTTTTCCCAATTAAAGTCTGACACATGCACATTTCAGTGAATAGGTGGTAGTGAGACTTGAATCCAAGACCTTTGCCTTCTTTAAAGCATTTGATCTAAAAGTTTAAGTTGTTAGAGATTTTGAGCAACTTGAGATCTCTTTGCCGAGAAAGAGAATAGATTTGAAAAATGTATCATTTAAATCTTGTCTTCAACATGTCTCCTCACATGCAAGCGGGGTTCATTTTTCGAATTAGCATGACACATGCACAATTTCGTTAAATGGGTTGTAGCAAAACTTGAATTTTGCACATTTGTCATCTTTGAATCACTTGATCTAAAAACTTAAGCCGTTAGATAGGGTCACACGTATATATTTTAAATCATGTTGAATCTTCAACGGTTGCATTATACGGCCTTTTAATTTTCTAAATCCTGCTATAGAAGTCTGGAAATCACTGAAATAGAACAAACTTTAATGGTTTCCATCTAGGTTCAAGCCAAAAGTTGCATGTCTCAATTTTAATATAGCTTTTGAAACTGTTTATGGATGTCAGGTGGACCTAGTTGTTTTGCAGATTATGTGGATTGAGTACCCATTTTTAATATTACTGAGGGCTGCAATAGACAGTCTACATTCAGTGATTCAAGGCGTACTGCTAGCTCTATTACCATTAAAATTTGCATGATCACAGTCATATATATGCGTGCTCATGTGTATGTATATATTTCTATTAAAGTTTCTCAAAATTCCTGAGGCTTGACATAGGGTTATGATATTGGACTCGCAGCACAATAGCTGTGATGACGTCATTGGTGGCTTTATCCTTTTATGGTGCAAGTCAGCTCAAATTCCACTGGGTGGAACGCTACGACAAGCTTCTTGTAGGTTCAGTTCTGTGTTTGGTTGGTGTTCTGACCCTCCTCTTCCATGACCATGATGGAGATGTGAGTTCCATTGGAGAGCATTTGCATAGGAAACTCATTGTTCTATAAGAATTAACTTTGGATTCTTGAGGTTCTGTTTTACTCTGAGTACAATTTAGGTTGCATACGTGTTACTGCTGAGGAAGCAATGTAAAACATTTATTTTCTCTGCAGTTTGATAGTTACTAAAAATCATTGCTCGCGTAGTATATGTACTTCATGCCATTGTTGTGAGTTTGGAGTGACCACAGGCAATTTTTGTTGCGAACAATAGATTTAAGATACAGTTTGTGCCCAACTGTTGTAAGTACATTGATCTAATACTAGAGATGTAAACGAGTCGAGCCGAAATTTTGGGCTTAGGCTCTGCTCGAGTAAATTGAAGCTGGCTTTTTTTGGGCCCGAGCCGAGCCAAAGCTTGGCCAAAAAAATAAGGCTCGGCCTGAGCTTTGGCTCGGGCTTTTTACGAGTCGAGCCGGCTCGCTTTTTTAAACTTTTTTTTTTTTTTTTTTTNAATCAAATAAAATTAAAAAATGCATTTCTTAAAGAAAAATAATTAATTTAAAAACTTACAACATCCTATGTTTGGATATGCTGCAACTCTTCGGCTATTATACTATCAACGTCTATCATCATAAGCGGCATCTCTGCTGCAGCCACGTATGCAGTCATTCCTTCACGAAATCTTTCCTGTGAATATACAAAGGTGGAAAGAGTAGAATTAGAACCGTCAAACACTAGTTCGGTCTGTTTTGAGTCGAGATCTGTTGGTTTCGCTTTGCAACTCCTTAATACGTGTCTATTCAAATGCGTTGTGCTCGAGCCAGGCTTCCAACTAAGTTCTTTGCCACAGTAATTGCAACATGCTTTCCAAATATCTACTTCATTTTAAACACCAATTTTTTTTTTCGTGTCATATGTTGCCAACAGTCCGATGATTCTTTTTTTGACCTTTTTGTCTCGAGTACTTGAACTTCTTCCTCTTCAATATCCTCCAAATTAATTAGAACATTTTTACATGCATCGTAGTTAGATGGAGTACTCGAGCTACTGCCAAACTGATTAACTTCATCACTTGTAAAATCCATAATAACTAGTATAATAAAAAATATTGAATATTAGACTGTAGAGTGAAAGAAATTGAAAATATTAATTGTTATATGAGAGGTGAGAAAGAAGAAATTGAAACTTAAATGATTGAATCTGAATCTATAATATAAAAATAATGCGAATTAAAATCGATAGCAAAGTGATTTAAAATTTCAAAAATCATCCCGTATTTATAGATAAAAAAACCCGCGTTATTTTTCAAAATTGAATTTCAAAATCTATACGGTTAAAGATAACAGTGTAACACTACGTAAAAAATGCAGCTATAGCTGTCCTAGCTGACAGCTGTAAGGCAGCAGGTTACAGCTGCCCACGGCAGCAGGTCAATTTTTTATTTTTTTTGGTCCTTTAATTTACTCGGGCCGAGCATTATTGTCACGAGCCATTTTTGACCCTCCGAGCCACACGGGCTTGCTCGGGCTCGGGCTCAAGCTCGAGCTTTTCCCTAGCCAAGCCGCCTGAGCCACCAAACCTTTTTGACACCCCTATATAATACTATTTGTTTCCTTGGTTGCCGCATCTAATGGTTGCTCCCTTGTTCTGGTGATTGACAATGTTAAATTTCTAAAAATTCACATGAATATGATGAATTACATTAAGGTTTATAACAATTATAGAACCTCCTCTCTATTTTCAAAAAGGACAATTCCATTTGTATCGAATGGAATGTACCGAAAATTGTCCCCCTCTCACAATGCACGTAGGTCCCGCGTGAATGTAAAAATCTCCAAACGTAGTCCTTACCTCCTATTGTGAGTAGTAGGTAAATAATTAGGTAAATTTTTTTTATACATATAACATTGTCATTTCGAAAAACTTCTCCCGAGAATTTTGGAAACATATTTCCGACTATCGACAAAAAGTAAATATTTATTTTCGTTTTACTCTCTTATACTATTGTGAAATTATATTTAAAATGTATTTTTCTTCTTATTATTAAGACATATTTTGTACTTTTGAGTAAATGAGATCAATTTAATTGAAAAAATGCAAACCTTTCAAACGTATTTATAGTTATTTCTATGTTTTTCTAATACGATTGAAATATAATTTAAAAGTCTACATAAATAAATATTTTAGAATAATTTTAAAATCTTAATTAAAAATTCATTATATATTTTATATTGCTAGGTCTGATAGCATTTTTTCTAACTAATATATCTTTTTTTATACCTTGACATTTATATTAGAAAATTGCACTAATAAATTGTGCAAAAACTCAGCGTCAAAAGTTAAAATATTGTTTTATTTTATATCTCACTAACAGTGACTTGCACACGAAGAACACTTGCCAGCTGCCAAAGAGGCCCGCGTAAAAGTAACGCTTTTCGATTTATAGCTTTTTCTTCTCTTCAAAATAATTATAATTACAGAGAAGACTCTCCAGCCGAAAATTAAAATTCTTCGTAGAAATGGTAAAGTGGGGTCCACAATCCACGCAATGCTCTCTTGTCATCCTGTGCACCTTTTCCATTGCATGCAAACTCGGTACAATCCTCTCTCTACACTGTTTGTTTGTGTGTGATTTGTGATTTGCTTTTTTCATTTCTGACAGACTAACTGTCATACACGCACAATCTTGAAAAGTTTCTCTCTGAAAAATTCCCATATCATACGGGTTGTAAAGTTTTAATCTTCTTTGAAATTCAAGAGTTTTCTGCACCATAAACGTCGGTTTGACTTCAGGTTTCAGATAAGCTTTCTCAGGTAAAAATCGTATATACGAGAATGCTGTAGCCCATAGTTTTCATTTTCAGTTTAAGTTTTCGGAAGCCTTCTTGAGTTTTTGATGTGGGTTCAATTCAGTTCTGTTGATTTGTTATGGTGTCCTGAATCTTGATTGACTTGTGTGAATTGGAGTTTTGATCTTTTTGATTTTCTTTTAGTAATCTGATTGGTATCGATTAATTTGTGAGCTAGATTCATTAGAATTTTGATTGTTTTGATTTTCAATTTCTGGGATTTTTCGGGTTTTGGGTTTTAATTTAATTCCATGGCCGTCTCTTTCAATTAACTTTCACGGGCTTCTTTATGTTTTTATGATGCGTAAGTTTTTTTTCCTTCTGGAACTGATTTTTCGTGTTGTTCGACTTATTTGTTATTTTTGTTGATTTTGATTGTTATTCATGAATTTATGTAGCATTTCCCATCTAATTTTATGAGTTTTCGGAATTGATTACAGAACTTAATAATTTAAGGTTTCCCAGTTTCAAAAACTATGCTGTGATTTGAAAGACTATAACTTTTATTGCTTATGAATTGTGCTTAATCTCATTCTATCATCATCATAAATACCTTCATTTTATTGATTGTTACTGTATTTTTTCATGGCAATTTTCACTTTTTCTAAGCGAGCTGAATTCATAACAATTTTGTTCATGTCAAATCTATGGATCTTCTTGTATCTGTTACATACGTCTCTCTTGGCAGAAAAAGAAAAATAAAAAAAAATAAAAAATAAAAACTGGAGATATGAAACAGAATCGAGCTACTATTTTAGTGCTATTAAACGGATACTGCTTTAAGAACTGTCCTTTTTACGTAAAGCCTGTATTTTTTATTTTATTTTTTTTGTTGATTGTATTCTCTCTTAATTTGAATAAGTTCTGCTATGTTTCTCATCAAAACTTTTCTAATGTCATTTAAGGGATTAGGACACGTGGTCAAGCCATTCTCCTAATTTGCTCCAGAACTTTTCACATCACCAAGATTCCCGGATGCTGATTTGGCAATCATTCAATGGGGGCTTCAAATTCTAGATTGGAGGAAGACAAGGGCCTACAGCTTTGCCGTGAGCGAAAGAAATTAATCAAACAAGCACTTAATGGTAGGTGTTCTCTAGCAGCTGCTCATATTGCTTATATAGAAGAATTGAAAATCATAGGAACTGCTTTGAGGAAATTCGTCGATCCTGATTCTCAAGTTGAATCGTCCATCGATATTCCAACAAGTGCGACACCAGAGCCACATGCATTTATTGAGAGGTCTGCCTCCCAGTTTTCACTGTCCTCTCAGTCTCTGTCCCAACATGTGGATACCACTGTGAAAATATCACCATCTCCTTCACCTCCAATCACAAGTCAAAACCAGGCTCATCATATGAAATTTAGAGGTACATTTTCCAAGAAAGTTGAAGAAAAGATTTCTCTGCCTGTCACAGTATCAGTTGCTTCGACTACTCCTTGTTCCACTGAAGGACCTGAAGCATTATCATTCGAATCTCCTTCCATCCCGTCAGAAACTCCACCATGGGATTATTTTGGTCTTTTTCATCCAATTGACAATCAGTATTCTTCACAGGAAGGCAGGGGATTTCATCAGGATTCAGAGTACTTTGGCGAGATTAAAGAGCTCAGGGAAGAGGAGGGAGTTCCTGAATTGGAAAATGTAGAAGAGAAGGTCTCCTCTACTGGAATGGTAGAATCTCATGAATCAGAAGATGAATTTGACGAACCTTCTACTGAAACACTTGTTCGAAGTTTTGAAAATGTAAACAGGGAAACAGAAAATGTTGTCAACAATGATGCGCTCACTATGCCCTTAGACACTGCAGTATCAGAAACCAATTTTGGGGGTGAACAACTTAATGGGGAGAAAGAAAATGTCACGAACATTGATTCACCTATTAAGTCCAAACAGAGTGCAGTGTCAGAAACCAAGTTTTCAAATGTGAAGAAAAACAACTCTCCCGATTTATCACCATTAAGAGCCACATCTTCACGATTTGAGCATTTGAATTTTGTGAAGATTACACCAATGAAAGAATTGGAAGCAGAAGATACAGCTGCACCTAAGGACTTCTTTTCAAGCATGAAAGATATCGAGCATTTATTTGATAAGGCATCTAAATCTGGAAAAGAAGTCCCCCGGATGCTTGAAGCAAACAAATTCCATTTCCGTCCAATTTTCCCAGGGAAAGAACGTAATGTCTCTTCCTCTCTCCCCCCGTCTCAGTCACTGACACACATGATCTCTCTTATTTATGCTTGTACGGGTTTTTAATATTCTTTTATTGAAGTAGTCAATTTCCAGGTTTGCAGTGACACTCAAAACCAATTTCACTACAATAAAGAAATTGATGTACCTCTTATATAGGATTCATCTTTAATGCATTGTAGAGAGACTTGAATACTCTGCTGCTCAATCATTTAGATAAGATTGAATCTTGCTCGTATTAATAAAATTGGGAGGAAAACGAAGGCCATTTGTTTGCGTTACATAGTTATATTTTTATTTTTACTTTCTCTTATAATAAATATGTGTGAAAGTTCTGCTACCAAGTAGCACCGAAATGCATTGTGCTCCCAAGAACAGTAAATAGTCAGATCGCTTAAATTAACTTTCTTCATGTTGCCTTCTCTGGATATTGATTTTTCTTTTGTGCAAGCTTATTGAGGAAATATCTTGTGGCAGGTGGATCAATGACCTCAGCATTACTGAAATCATGTTTCTCTTGTGGGGATGATCCAAGTGAGGTTAAGGAAGGTAGGTCTGTCCATCTTAATTTTTCTAGAGCATTTTGTTAGAGACATCATATATCTTGTGGTTACTGTCTGTAAATATGGCATCTTCACCATTTTTGATGGGAAAAAACAGTAATGAATCAGTGTATAATTCTAATTTTTTAGTCTGCTAAGTGTTATGAGTTCATTGTTAAATTTGACTCTGTTTATATCCTATAAATAGTAACTTTGGTACAAGGTTCCCTTCAACTAACTTCAAAACACCGGGATTTGGCTACTTACCTATTTGGTGATTTCAGAAGCGTAAAATGATTAGAGAAAAATGAAGTGCTGAAAGATAAAAGAAGAAATATATGGAAAGATGATATAACCTCTGTATCTTATCAAAGAGGCTTGAACATTTAAAACTAAAAGAACAATGTAATCTTTTCGCCTGTGACACCCTATAGAGAGAAACAACCAAGCAAGTTATATAGTGGCTACCTTTTCAGTTGCTAAAATATCCTCAGTGGAGTGGAATGTGACATCGCAAATTTATGTACTGTCTCTAAGATATCTATCACTTAACTGAGTCTTGGATGATCAATTTTCTCTCTACGAACTTATAGTCCTTTTTTACCTTCCAATTTGCTTTGATGATATTTTACTAGGTCAAACTTTTGGTATTAGACAAGATGACCTCATTTCTCTGGCCTATTTGTGTTAACCTATTCTTGATGAAGCAGCTTGGCTTTTTGAATGCGAACAAATTGCTTGTTGATAAGGAGTTGACCTTATAGATATACATCCATGTAACATCACGTTTCACGAACATTGTGTATCTCTTAATAGAAGGTTGCTACTATACGGGTTTGTAAATATGGTAGGCAGGTACCAACAAATTAGGCCTTATTCCCAATAAATTTTGGATTAGTTACATCAACCCATTTCCACTCTGTTCATTGCTTGATCTAGTAGGAGATTTGAAGCAACTAGATCCTTAACAAGTACAACAAGCAATATTAATTATGGTCTACCCCCATCTTCCAACTTGCTCTGCCAAAAACGCGTCACTCTTAGCATGGAGACATCTTCAGGTTCATGCAAAACCACAACTCAACCACCTAAGTCATCATTCCCTTAATTTATCCTCAAACTTGTGCCACCTCCCCTTGTTGGAATTTATTCTCATTACCTTATGTGTTTTAATATCATCTCACCTCCACCTTATCATCTTCATTCGCTACATTAATCTTTGAATATCTTAATCTTTACAACCCAACACTCATAACCACAAAGCATTAGACTGATGTAGAACTTACATTTTAACATCGATGATATCTTCCTCACATAAAATTCCCATAGCACATCTCCAGTTCATCCAACCCAGGCTAATCCTATGCATTACATCCTCCAAAAGTAGAGTTACCATATGAGAAAATGGATGAACTCATAAAACTGCTCATTAATTTTCTGCCAAAAATTCGACTTTTGATGTATTTCATGCCTCGTATCACTTTTATTTAATTCTTTTCTGATCTTATAATCGAAAGAAATCCGGCAAAGCAAAAGGCACTTAACACTGATTTCAATTATTAACTATTATTTCGGAGTTGATTGATGTGGTCATGGAATCTTATAGAATCTTCGTTCACAATATGGAATTACTACTTATATCTTCTATTCATTTATGGGATTCTCATATGGTTTTCAATTGCTTTGTCTAGAGCCTTCTCAAACTTCTGGGAAGTACTTAACTTGGCACCGGACCTTGTCACCTCGTTCGGGTTCGTCTAGAAATCTTCTGGGCGGGAACTCTGTAGATGATGGTGAGGATGTTACAAATAATCTCTTTGACAACTTCTGTATGGTCTCTGGAAGTCATGCCTCGACCTTGGATAGGTTATATGTGTGGGAGAAGAAGCTTTATGACGAAGTTAAGGTATGTTCATAGTTTGAACTTGCACTAGTACATATAATCATAAAAATTATTAAACTACTTTTTCGGCAGGCAACGGGAATTACTTTCTGGGGGTTTGAGTTTTACACTTATACTTGACAATCTTATATTACGTCTTGCTGTACATAGGTGTCATGCGATTCTGGATGTAGTGTTAATTTACCATTTACCATTGGTTTCTCAAACAAAAAAACTGGCTGTTAATAGGAAAAAGTGTGAAGCTCATATTCAAGATGCCCAGTGGTTTCTCATTTGTATGAGTGAGAGAATGTTTCAACAGTGTTCTTGCTTTACTCATTCGAGCTAGTTTTTGCACACTTGGATGGTATTTTTTGGTCAATTTTATCTGTGACCGAGACTACTCAACTGAAACTCTTTATTTGCTACATCAACGTATGGACACAACCTGTCTTAATGTATGGTTAATGGGTGATTATGTTCCATTGATTTTAGCTTGATATACTTCTACAGTTGAGTTTTCCTGTTACTGACCAGTAAAACAATATGTTTCAGAAGTTTGATAATTTATTTGCTTAGTCTTTATCTTAAAATGAGTAGAAGAAATCAACTGATACCTGATACTCCTTTTTCAGGCTTCTCAAGTGCTTAGAAGTAATTTTGATCAAAAGTGTAAAGTGCTTAGACAGAAAGAATCACAAGGAATGAAAACTGACAAAACACGTGCTGTAGTCAAGGATCTGCACTCAAGAATTAGAGTTGCAATTCACAGAATTGACTCAATATCAAAGAAAATAGAAGAAATTAGAGATACAGAGCTTCAGCCACAGCTTGAAGAGTTAATTGACGGGTATGTGTTTATAATTTGCTTTTGCTCTTTATTTGATTTATTAGTCACTGAAATTCATCAGGAATATTTGAGATTAATTCTGAACTTCATAAATTTGGATTCATCCAAGTAGAACTATAGAAACAGGGTATGTCTTTTAACATAGAGGACCTCTATTGACTCAATTCAGACTTTTTATCACATGCAATTAATTGTTGCAAGGATAATCTAACATGTGTGGGTTACTAAAAACTCACTTTCAAGTAGCTTTTTGTTTCCAAACATTTGAGATAAGTCTCTTTTTTTCTCAACACAAGTTATTCATTGTCACAGCAGGTTAAAGTTACTTTCAAAATAATCGACTTGAACCTGTAAGTAATTTTTTTAAGCTTAGCCAAATGTGCACTAACTCTGGGTATGTCTTAGTACATGAGTGGCTCTGCAATCACTGTCAATCCTCAGCTCAGGCTGCCTTATTGTAGCATTTTACGTGCACGGTCATTTCTAACTTTTTTGAAAGTGTTGAAATTTGATAAGAAAACTACTGTCTTATTTATTCCTTTTTAATTGCCTGTTTACAACGCAAAAGTTTGTGATCTTGTTTCTTGTGGTGTTCTACCTAATAGGCTTCAATGAAGTAGAAGTGATTTGATAGAGACAGGAACATTTTGTTGCAAAGTCCAGTAGTCGAATATAATGTTGTCATTGAAAACTGATGATTGAGTTAAGGTCTTGTTCTTATTTTTACCTTTCCCTCCATAAAAGATCAGTCAAACAATCAGTAGTTCTCAGAGACGCCCTGAGTTGTAATTTGGATTTCTCTATGAGAAACATGATTTATAAGGTGAAAGAACATCCGATTGGAAATGACTTTTAATTCCATGGTTTTCTTTCTATTACATTTGATTCAATAGAGATGTAGAGATGGTCTGTGTATGGCTTTTACAGTACTTGTTTCATATGTATGAGTAAAGATGGTCTGTGTATGGAAACCCTAAAATTTGTTTACATCATTACATGATGATGACTACTATTAGAAGTCTCAGAATATCCATCATAAAGACATTTCTACTAATTTTTAGAGAATTTTTATATGGCTTTGCTTATTGATTTCATATGCTTGACTCTTCTTGTTACTGATAGACTGAGGAGAATGTGGGACATGATGCTTGAATGCCATGAGCTTCAGTTTCACATCATATCAGTATCTCACGCCCCTCGAAGCACTGAATTTGCTGTGCAGTCGGATTCCCGGAAACAGATTGCTATCTATCTTGAAAATGAACTGAACTCTCTAATGTTGAGGTTCACAAAATGGATTAGTGCCCAGAAAATATATGTGGAATCGATAGATAAGTGGCTGTTAAAGTGCGTGTCTCTTCCACAGAACAAGTCGAAAAGGAACAAAAGGATAAGGCCCCCACCTATAAGAAACTGTGGCCCGCCCATATATATCATGTGTGGTACCTGGTTGGAGAGGATCGACAAATTACCTTCGCAAGAAATCGTGGAATCTATCAAACACTTGACAGCTGAAGTTGCTCACTTTTTACCGCGTCAAGAGAAGAACCAAACGAAGGGTGGAAATGACTCTCATTTGAGTACCTTCCAAGCTGGAACCAATGATGACACTTCAGGTATTAATATGTTGAAAGATGAAGCTTCCGAGGATTGGATATCTGGTTCTGATCGGTTTCGTACGAGCTTGGCGCGTTTTCTTGGCAAATTTAACAACTTTTCTGAGTCTTCTGTGAAGATGTTCAGTGATCTCCAGAAGGTCATAGAAGAAGCAAAGGAAAACTACAAACAATTCAAGTCTCAATCTTGAAATTTTTCTTGTCCGAATTATAGTACAGGCTGCAAATACTGGAGAGGGTACATATTGAAAATAAGGAAGAAAATAATCATTTAGGAACATAGGGGCCGATTGATTGCGGCGTCAGATTTATGGAGCAAAAGAAATAATAAGATAAAATCTTGGGACTTTCTTTCAATGTTCAACTGTCAGATGAAATTAAGGGGATGAATAGAGCATGTATTTAATATTTATACAGATGTGCAAAGTGTGTGTTGGGAAGTTATAGGTTTATCATTTATGATAACTGTAAAATTTCTGGACAACTATATGTTATGTAGTTTTGNGCAAAGTGTGTGTTGGGAAGTTATAGGTTTATCATTTATGATAACTGTAAAATTTCTGGACAACTATATGTTATGTAGTTTTGATTTTGCATGTTCTGAATCATAGGGTATTGTACTTGTATAAATGCATCTTTTAAATTTATAGAAATGTTGATTTGAAAGAGTTGAGTAATGATATATGTTTTCGAGACGTGTCTGTTGTTATTTTTTTCGTGGAATTAATCATTTCATCTTCCTGGGTTAGAGTAATGCTATTCATATTATTGGTTCGCGTGGCAATGGTTCCCTCGTCTATTGTTCAACAAAGTTGTGATGCATTTTAATACATTGAATCCCTTGTTTAATTCCCATTTATTAGAATTTTTTTTTCTAGAGATTCATTTCATGAGATTCACAACTTGTATCAACTTTTAAGCCATAAATTTTCATCTAGTTTTATCAAAATTCACTAAAAATCTAATTTTTATCAAAATTAAATAGAGGCTAAACAATAAATTAAGGGATCATTTGTCTCCTAGATTGATGATATTAACTAATGATGAATAATATTACTTCTACAAAAGACTTCATATGTTTGATGCGATGATCAAATGATTCAAATCGGAGAAAAATACTTGTAAATATTTGAAGTTCTCCACTTGTCCTTTTTTTGGGTAAGCTCTATACAATTTCTAGCAATATGATCTGATTTAGCGATTCTTTCAAATCAAACACTCTCCCTATATTGCCCGTCACACTTAAGATAGGGTGGAATAATATTAATCCCACCCTTTCTAGCATTTGCTCCAGGAAGAACAAAATCTTATTCAAATTCTAAATCAAAAGCAAAGTTCAAAATCAAATCCCAACGTTCAAATTCAAGTCTTGAATTTCAAGTATCAGACAAGTCAAGTTGTCAATCAAATTCAATTCAGACCTTGTAATAACACAATCACAATAAGATTAATCCACTTTGTAATTTTCTATAAAATCAATCTCTAACAATTTCTATATTTTTATACACGAATTTTGTTGTACAAATACAAAATTAAAGTTGTTTTACAAATTCAATACATAATGTTACTCACTTCATCTCATAAAGAAGATTGATTCACACAGATTAAATAATGTAATCAATATAATTGAAAATATAGATTTTACTTACATATTTTTTAATATATTCCTAAATTAAATAAGAATTTAAACATGAGTAGTACATACTTGTTGATAATAATGCACATTAAGTAAAGATATATTAGAAAACTAAGAGATTGATTATACTCTTGAAAGTAACCCATAATTTGGAATAAATGAAAAAGGAAAATAAATTTTATGAGATGAATAAAGTAAAATTATCTACCATAATCTTACGCAATAATCACAATCTTTAGCTACTATATTCGATTTGTCGTTAAGTGCATCCACGATGACGTCACACTTGACCTTAGTTGTAATTTCCCATGTCTTCATGAACCCCACCTTAAATTTAACGGGTAACTTTAACCCCACCACCAATGGCACCATTCTTTCATTCTGCCTGTTTATTAACGTTGTCTTAACGGCACTTCCCAGTACTACGTTGGACCCCCTAAACGCCGTTTGAAATACCGTCACGTTGTTCTTCGGCTGGTAAAAAGCAGGCAAAACGCCGTCGCTTAGCTTAACGTCGTTATAAAAAACTTTAACGTAGCTGTTTTTTGTATAGTATATGCCGATCTTGTCGTTAGGATTCTCCGTCCTGATGCTGACGTCAAATTCCGGTGATATGAAAGGCACTGATGTCAGATTCATTCCTCTTATAGCGACGGAGATTATCGTGTACTTCGGAGCTTCTGGACGGAAGACGAAGTAGAACACTCCGGCGGCAATAGCAGCGGAAATAATGACTGTTAGGAGGCAGAGAGTAAAATAGCAGCAACGGCGGCAGCAGCTATGTTTATTCCCGCGTGTGAGGGCATGGAATTTGCGTGCGTTTTCAGGTGGTGGATAGCGTAGGATTTGCTCTCTGGGGAGCTTGACTACATAAGTCGGCGGCAGTGGCTTCGAATTAGGTGCTGGTTTGGAAGCGTCTCCGGAGTTCTTCGCCGTGGATGGTGGCGCGTCGACGTTTATGGGACGAATTCGCTCTGCCATTCTGATCAACAGTGTAGAACAGATTCAAAATCAAATTTGAAACATAATTCTGCGTAAAAAATCAGTTGTAATAAGAGTTGAGGAGTTGAGAAAATGGAAGTGTGGTGTTGTATCTATACGTAAGTATATGTAGTTATGAGTTCTTGTGCGTGTACCGATTACGAGAATATATAGAATTGGAATTATACGTGTAAATGAAGAGTGAAGAGTTAGGAGCCGCGCCGCGCCGCGTGATTTGCGGCTGATTTGCGCTAATCGGAAATAAAACAAAACATATTTGAATATAATTCCTTTTTATTGTGCTTAAAAGTGACTTTTAATTACTCTATAATAATTAATTTTCGAAGTAGATTATATAATGTAATAGATGAGAAGTGATTTATCACACAAATCATCAAGTACTAGGTGTCAAAGATCGCAGTTTTACTTAGCCCCTTGACACTATTGCAGCCGCAGTTTGCCCAATTTCGACCGCACATTGTAAATATTACTTCAAATTTGAGTTGTAATTTTCTTTTCATTGTAATAGTTATTTCAATTGTAAAATAGCTCTGATATTGGTAAACGTTTAGTATGATTCCTCGTCTTTTAAACGTCTACTCCCGTCACTTGGGTTTTTGTTCAGAATGTTATTATAGGGGGTATTAGTCATTCAAAAATCTTTCAAACTCAATGGTGTCCGCCCTCTGCACCGGCAATTGTAATTTTCTACTTTCATCAATTATAATGTTCAGTTTTCATCAATCAATGTTCAATTTATTTTCAATGTATTCAAATTCTCTATTGTAAACTTTCTATAAAATTGTAATCAAATTTTCTTTCGTCCCGACGTGATCGAGAAAAGGCGGAAGGTAGTCTAGCGGAGCAGACTACTGCCGCACGGTGTCCCTTTCTGTGCCAAGAAGAAAGGCACCCCGTGAAAGTTGGTATCAGAGTTGCGGCTCACGACCCTCGATAAGAAAGCTATGGATCCAATTACATCACACACCACTGAAGTGGTAGAGCCTCAAAAGAAGGGTACTACGAAATAGCGCGTGGATGCGCTTGATGAGACAACTACTAGGTTGTGCTATGCTATGGAAGGTCTCGAGGAAAAAGTCGAGATGGTCGAATCTGAGATTCGTGGATTACACATCCAATTGGATGAAAGCCAAAGAGCTTGCGCAGCAATGACGGAAGCTGCTGCAATCATTCCTGATCTACAGGATGAATTGGAAGCGTTGAGAGCTCAATTGCGAGTACTCCAACGTGCGGTGGGCAATGGGCAAGCTCCCACACACGAGTATGCTCCTAAACTCAGAATTCCTGAACCGTGTACCTACGGAGGGGCACGTGATGCAAAAGAAGTCGAAAACTTCTTGTTTGATATGGAATAGTACTTTCTAGCAGCTTCGATCGAAGATGAAGCTAGAAAGGTAACCACAGCTACTATGTATCTGGGTGGAGACGCAAAACTATGGTGGCGAACCAAATATGCGGACATTCAGGCCCACAGGATTCGAATTGATTCTTGGGATCTCCTCGAGGAAGCGATCAGATCGCAGTTTTTCCCGAAAAATGTCGAGTATCAGGCTCGACGGGCTCTTCGAGACCTGAAACACACGAGCTCTATCAGGGAGTATGTGAAATCCTTCTCAGGGCATATGCTGAATATTCGAGCTATGTCAGAAAAGGATAAGCTCTTCACCTTTATGGAAAGGTTGAAACCGTGGACACGCACGGAACTTCAAAGACAGAAGGTTACTGATTTAAGCACGGCCATGGGAGCCGCTGAATGCTTGAGCGACTACTAAACAGAATCTCGAAAAGATCGACCTTCGGGGAGTAATCAAGCAATTGGAGGTGGTAACAGATCTTACAGACCTAGCTCGAACCCAAATGGGGGAGAGCGTTACTCTCAGAATAGAGAAGGAGCCTAACAAAGCATCCGTGGCTTTCAGGGAAACTATCATAACAGCCGTCGGGGAAATTTTAACGGCAGTAATAGTAACAACTGGAACAAAGGAAAAGCAACGGAGGGACGAACTGATGTCACTCCCAAATTGAAGTGCTTTTTATGTGAAGGACCTCATCGGGTGTCGGAGTGTCCTCAAAAGCGGATGGTGAATGCATATTGTCAGTTAGCAAGTGGCGGGCCAAGTTCAAAACAAGAGGCCCCGCATGCTAATTGTCATAGTGAGACTGACTCTGAAGAGAATGAGGAAGTAGTTGGGGCATTTTCACATCGGTGCAACACACTATCGCATCGTGTTGCTGAAAAGGATGACGTCCCATTAAAAGAGGCAAAGATGGAAGAAGCGAAGGCTCGCATTTGTAGGGCCAAAGGATTAATGTTCATTGATGTAAAAATCAATGGGAAGCCAATCAGGGCTATGGTAGATACCGGTGCTACCCACAACTACCTTGCATGTACCGAAGTAGAGCGGCTCGGACTTGTTCTAGAAAAGGGTAGTGGAAAAGTCAAAGCAATCAACTCTGCTGCTCAACCAATAGCTGGAGTGGCGAAATCGGTGTTGATCAAAGCAGGTCCTTTCGAGGGAAGGACAAATTTATCTGCAGTTCAGATGGATGATTTCAAGCTTATTCTAGGATTGGAATTTCTTCGGGATACTAAGACAGCAGTGTTGCCATATTCCGATTCGTTAATGATGATGGGTAATAAGCCGTGTGTCATCCCTACACAGGTTGGGAGGATGGGCGAGAAGAGTATCTCAGCCATGCAATTTAGTAAAGGTTTCAAGAGAAATGAACCCTCCTTTTTGTGCACTCTTCGATTAGAGGAGGTCGAAGAGGCGAATGGTCCTATTCCAAAACCCGTTAAAAGGCTTATTCGAGAATTTGAGGACATCATGCCAGAAGAATTACCAAAGAAATTATCACCAAGAAGGACGATTGATCATGAGATCGAACTCATTCCAGGTGCTAAAGCTCCCGCCAGGGCACCATACCGTATGTCACAGCCTGAGCTTGAAGAGCTTAGGAAGCAGTTGGGGGAAATGTTGGAGAGTGGAATCATTGTGCCTGCGAAGTCGCCATACGGAGCTCCTGTATTGTTTCAGAAAAAGACTGATGGTTCTCTTAGAATGTGCTGTGACTATCAAGCCTTGAACAAAATTACTGTAAAGAATAGCTATCCTATCCCACTGGTTGCAGATTGCTTCGATCGACTGAGTCGGGCGAAGTATTACACAAAAATTAATCTTAGGTCCGGATACTGGCAAGTTCGGATTAAGGAGGGAGACGAAGCAAAGACTACAGTGGTAACCAGATATGGAGCCTTTGAATTTAAGGTGATGCCTTTTGGTTTGACAAATGCTCCAGCAACATTTTGTACTATGATGAATCAGGTACTTCACCGGTTCTTAGATGACTTTGTCGTGGTGTACTTGGATGACATAGTAATCTACAGCGAGACATTGGAGGAACATGTCCAGCATGTGAGGCAAGTTTTTAATTGGCTACGGGAGAATGAACATTATGCTAAACCGTCTAAATGCTCATTTGCTCAGACATCTATCAGTTTCTTGAGTCACATCATTGAACAAGGTAAAATTCGCATGGATTCGAAGAAGGTTACAGCCATCAAAGATTGGCAACCACCAAAAATCGTACATGATGTACGTTCCTTTCTTGGGTTATGCAATTACTATCGAAGATTTGTGAAAGGCTACTCAGAAATTGCACTGCCACTTACTGAATTGACAAAGAAGGATAAGGATTGGGATTGGTCATCCCAATGCCAAGCTGCTTTTGAAAGGTTGAAGAAGTCCATGTGGACGAACCCGGTTTTAGCCTTACCGGATATGGCTAAACCATTTGAAGTTCATACAGATGCTTCAGATTTTGCCCTTGGTGGAGTCCTCATGCAAGAAGGACATCCGGTAGCATATGAGAGCCGGAAGTTAAATCAGACAGAACGTCGTTCCTTGGCACATGAAAAGGAATTGTTAGCAGTAGTCCATTGTCTCAGAGGATGGTGTCACTATCTGCTTGCGTCTCCATTTATTGTGAAGACAAATAACACTGCAGTTAGTCACTTTATGTCCCAACTAAAACTATCGAGCAAACAGGCTCGTTGGCAGGAATTCCTTTCAGAGTTCAATTTTATGTTAGAGTATCGTCCCGGCTCTAGTAATCATGTTGCTGATGCTCTTAGTCAACGGGCCGATTTAGCTACCATCTACTCTGTAGCTGCTCTTTCAGATAGCGCAGTCTCCACGAATACTAGAGATCAAATTCGGGCACTTATGGAGAAGGACCCGGCTACCCAATATTTGGTCGACCTTATCAAGCAAGGTAAAACTCGACAGTTCTGGCTAGATAGGAAACTAGTGAAGACAAAGGGAGACCGCCTATATGTTCCTAAGGGCGGAGATCTGAGGAAATCACTAATTACGGAATGCCATGACACAATTTGGACGGGGCATCCCGGAGAGGAACGCACTTGTGCACTACTACAACGCGCAAACTACTGGCCTCAAATGCGGGACGACATTGTAACATACGTAAAAACTTGTCTTATTTGTCAGCAAGATAAGGTAGTCAGAAAAAGGCGGGCTTGCTGGAGCCCCTTTCCGTTCCAACCCGGTCATTGGAAAGTGTATTGATGAACTACATGATTGGGTTGCCAAAAGTTGAGGATTTTGGCACTATCATTGTCGTGGTGGACCATCTATCAAAATATGCAACTTTCATTGCAGCGCCTAAGTATGTATCTGCGGAAGAGACAGCTCAACTCTTCTTTAAACATATTGTCAAATACTGGGGACTGCCTAAAGACATCGTCAGTGATTGAGATCCTCGTTTCACTGGCATATTTTGGACTGAGTTGTTCAAACTTCTTGGTTCAACTTTGAGCATGAGTTCTAGTTTTCACCCACAATCTGACGGACAGACGGAGCGCTTCAATTCTATGCTAGAAGAATATCTTCGGCACTTTATCTCTACTTCGCAGAAAAACTGGGTAAAACTTTTGGATGCGGCCCAAATTTGCTTCAATGCCCAAAAGAGCTCTTCCACCAATAAGAGTCCTTTTGAGATTGTTACTGGCCAACAACCGCTACTCCCTCATACAGTGGATATCAAACGAAGTACCAAGTCCCCTCAAGCAAAGAGCTTTTTTCAAGAGTGGAAACGAAATATTGAAATTGCTCGGAGTTATCTTAAAAAAGCTAAAAAACGGTATAAAAAGGCTGCAGATCTGAAGCGCCGTTTTATTGAATTCAATGTTGGAGATCTGGTAATGGTTAAGCTTCCCGACATAAATGTTTACAAACCAACAAGAGGGAAGGACTCAAGATTGTCACCAAAATACATTGGACCATTACCCATTGTGAAGAGGATTGGCAGAGTTGCATACAGAGTTGAACTCCCTTAATGGTGTAAAATCCACAAGGTCCTTCATGTTAGTGTGTTGAAGCCATACTTTTCGGATAAGGAGGACGCATCTAGAAATGAGCCAAAGCGACCTGTATTTGAACTGAAGAAAGCTGGAAGAAGGTTGCTGAAGCTATTCTTGACCATCGAATCACTCGGGCTTCTAGAAAAGATCATCAAGAGTACTTGGTCAAATGGATGGGATGCAGCAGCGAGGAGAATACTTGGGAAAGAGAAAAAGATCTCAGGGCCTTCAAATCATTAATTGAAGTATATCATGCATTGATGGCACCGAGGACGTTGCCAAAACAAATGGGGAAGAATGTCAAGAACCGCAGCTTTACTTAGCCCCTTGACACTATTGCAGTCGCAGTTTGCCCAACTTTGGCCGCACATTGTAAATATTACTTCAAGTTTGAGTTGTAATTTTCTTTTCATTGTAGTAGTTATTTCAGTTGTAAAATAGCTCTGATATTGGTAAACGTTTAGTATGATTCCTCGTCTTTTAAACGTCTACTCCCGTCACTTGGGTTTTTGTTCAGAATGCTATTATAGGGGGTATTAGTCATTCAAAAATCTTTCAAGCTCACTGGTGTCCGCCCCCTGCACCAGCAATTGTAATTTTCTGCTTTCATCAATTGTAATGTTCAGTTTTCATCAATCAATGTTCAATTTACTTTCAATGTATTCAAATTCTCTATCGTAAGCTTTCTACAAAATTGTAATCAAATTTTCTTTCGTCCCGACGTGATCGAGAAAAGGCGGAAGGTAGTCTAGCGGAGCAGACTACTGCCGCACGGTGTCCCTTTCTGTGCCAAGAAGAAAGGCACCCCGTGAAACTAGGGCTAGTCAGTATCCAAACTCAAAAAATAAAAAAATGAAAAAAATTGGCTATTTAAGTCGAAAGTGTTAAACTATGGAGTTTAATAAATTGTCGCTTTGTAGAGCCAATATATGGATATTCTAATGACAATATAGAGAATTGTCATTAGGATTTTGTTTTATAAAAAAAGAAAGAGAGATTAGAGAAGAAAGAGTATGCGATTTTCTTTTATAGATTTATTTTCATAATGGTTAATTATTGCAACGATGAAAGATGACGTAATCTCACATTGAGACAACCCTCTTTAAATCTGTGTTATTTTGAGTGTCTATTTTTCTTTCTACGAGTTGATTGCTCTCGATGCGTGCACTTAGGATTTCTAATACTCAATGGAAAGTGTATTGGATTGCTTCTTGAAATAAACAGATAAAGAGTAGATGGAATTTGTTATATGTAGATTGGGTGAATCTTCATTACACGGTATTGATTTAAATCAAATTTTAATATAAGCTAAAATCAAACAGTCAATATCAATCAAATATTTCATGGGTTCCACAACTTTTCAACAACACATTTCAAAAATTTGTGTCAAGATATACTGATAGTATAATTTCAATCCTGACCAAATAGGGGCATATATGTTAAAAGGTTTGGAATATTTCTATCTTAAGTGAATTAAAATAAAACTAATGAAGACAAATATAAGAAGAAAGTAAAATTCTAAATCGAGAAGAGTTCAATTGTTATAAATACATAATTGCTAAGAGGAGAGAAAATTCCAATGCTCGCTCCACAACCAATGCTTTGGATTCTTATTTTCTTAACTGCTTAAAAATTACTTTTTTTTTTCTTGAGAAATAAGTTTTATTAGTGAAGAAAATAATTTTATTTATTGTATTTGACAATATAAACACATCCAGACATGCAATAATTTGTGCTTCAAATTGCAACTTGAACTCAGCTCTAATTTTTCAGTTTTCAACAACTGAATGGTAAATAGGATAAAGAACAAACATTTCATGTTGAGTCGAGCATATCAAAATCTTGTCATAGTAAGACTATTTAATTGATAATCTTGACCAATGGGAAGTAATACAGCTTAATTATGAGACAAATGGAGGAGTTTTTTTGAATGTTTCTAATCATGCAAATTCAACAAAATACATAAAAATAAGATAATTATTTTAGTTATGTTGATCAATTCAAAACTCTCCGGCAAGCCATCATAGGATTAACGTTATTTAATTATGTTTCAAGGCAATGAAACGATGAATGCCTTGCTCTTCTTAAAGGATAAGATGTTAGAAGAATGAAGCACAATCTTAAGATGTATGTGTCCATATATTAAAATGAATAAAATAAAAATTAAAACGTGTCAAAGAAGATCATGTGTAAAGACTCGTGTTCAAAATTTCATTTGTACATGTTAGAAGATGAGGGATAATAAAAAATAACATGACCTGAACCCTCATGGGATGATCGAGTTGGTAGAGTAGATGAGCGCGGAGGCCTTTAGTCATAAGTTCAATTCCCCCTACCAACACTTTCTCGGTCGAGCTTGTCGTATCGGGTTTGTCTAGTGCTGTGTACTTGGCTGGCGTGATTTGCAGGTTATTGCGTCAACTTGAGGGTTTACCCAGTGTGCACTTGAAAGATAGCGACTGTGGTTTCCCTAGTCATAAAAATAAAAATAACATGACCTGTTAAGTTGTTAAGGATCTAGTTGCTCTAAATCTTTAGATAGAACTAGCAATAAAGTACACATAATAGAATGAAAAAGAAATAACTTATGTAGTCAATTTCAAAATTAATAATTACATAATATTTGTTTGTTTGATGTTTTCTGAAAAGCTCTAACCTTTTTTTTTTCTTTTTCTTTTTCCTGATGCTTCTCTTGCATATATGTCCCCGGAGGTACACTTACCCTTCAGTGAACCTCTCCCATCTACCAGTAAAAACTCGTCAGATCTTTGAGATGCCTTTCACAGTGAATTACTTGTTCATTTATTTCATAAATCTTAGTTTTACTAATGAAAAAGCCGACTTTATAGTCCAGTTGACGAATAACTTGACGACCACATCATCTTTTCCATTAGTCAAGCCAAAGAATGTGGCCCGACTGACCAGAATGGTTTGGTATTGCACAGAAAACAATTTCAGCTTGAACTAAAATCTCCATAGATACACAGAACTGGCCATAATTTAGTTTACAGAAGAAATGCTGCAACCCAAATTACAATTCGACGTACTGAAAGAATCTAGTTACCACATACAAAGAATTTCATGTTTTCCCCCCCAGTTACAAGACCAAATCTAAGCTGGATTGCTGATCAAGAAATGAAGTTGAACTACACAACTACAGGATATAATAACAGTAAACAACAAATGATTAGCAACATAACTCGCAGTCAAATGAAGATTCTGATGTACTTTTGGCATGTTATCGTCCGATAAAGGAAAGATCTTCGTAAACCATCTTCATGTCAGGTCTTTCTGCTGCAGGAAGAATACATTTGAGAGCAATCTGAAGTACGGTGTCAAGAATTTTCAGTGGGCGCTTCGTGTTTCTTATTTCTATGATCTGTTGATCAAAACACTCAATCGACCGGTTCTCTGCAGCCAAAAGCCTCACCCATTCTGTTAGGTCCATCACTTCTGGCTCACACGGAACAATTTCTGCTGAATTCTTTCCCGTCAAGAGCTCAAGCAGAATCACCCCAAAAGCATATACATCACTCTTCAATGATGGGCAAGGTTTACTTGTACTAGTGAATTCAGGTGGCATGTAGCCAAGAGCACCTGCGATTAACACCTGTTCGGCTGTCCCAGTTGATGTCAATAACCGATGGAGACTATAATCAGTCAGGAGTGCGTTTGTGTTAGAAATTTCAATTAAAATGTTAGTGGATTTCAGGTTGCCATGAGGTATGGCACTTTCATTATGTAGGTAACTAAGACATCGAGCGACATCAAGAGCGATCTTGAACCTATCATCGAGAGACAATGGAGGGAGTGTTCTGGGATCTGTCTCTGCAGATTACATTGAAGTGGACACTAGGTTAACTATTTACAGAAAAAATATACCAAATATTGATCTAGCAAGGAGAATTTCAAAATTTATATAAAACTAAAGAAATAGATGTGAACACATATTTTCAGGTAGAATTGATGAAATGGAAATCTGTAAGTTGGAAGAATACCGTGAAGATAGAGCGCCAAACATGGAGCATTAATATAATTAGATATGATTAGCTTCTCATGCTCCTTGGGACCCCAATAAAATCCCTGAAGGGAAACCAAATTTGGATGTCTAATATTTCCTAGTTTCATTGCTTCTCTTGCAAATTCTTTTCTACCTTTCGCTATCCCTTCTTTTAGCCATCTCACAGCCAACTCATGACCTGAACTAAGCATGGCCTTGTACAGTGTTCCATGGCAACTCATACCGATAACTTCTGCAGGTGCTGATGATAGCTCTTCTGCGGTGAATTTCAAGGAGTCATCAAAAAGATGTAGATCTCCAGCCAGTTTATCTGGAGAACAAACCTTAAGCGCACTGGGATTTTCAGATAGCTGCGGAATCCTTGAAGGTGTTGAGTCAGCAGCTGATATTGCAGATTTACTAGTTGATTCAGGAAGGTTTTGATCTTTGGATCCACGTGTGTCTGATGAGATTGCTCGAGGATGAGAACCAGATTCGATTAGTAATGAAGATAAATCTGTAGGATAACTAATACAAGTTCTAGCAAGATCATAGTATTATCAAAATAATGATGTATCAGGACTAGGAGAAATCTTGCGTACTACTTACCTTTCTTTGCACTGGAGTCTTTTGAGGTTGTCTTCTCTCCACATGCTCGATGCGTTCTGCAATAGATCATCATCGTCAATAAAGCCATAACAGAAGCACCAGCAACCAGGCAAGCAATAAGGGCAGGCCTGATAGCAGATTTCGTTTGAGAATGATGCCTCCCAAAACTTAGATTGGGTCCAATTTTTGGTGACAATGCTTCATTCTGGAGAATGAGCAAGGAATTTCCAGGATGAAATGCTGAACCAGGAAACCTCTCCAAGTTTTTTGGTACGACTCCAGATAGATTATTGTAAGATACATTAAATCCTCTCATTGTGCCAGGGAGATCATCAGGGATGTCACCTTCAAGATGGTTGTTAGATAAGTCAAGATGTACCATATTCTGAAACTTAACAAGCTCAGGGGGCAAGTTTCCTGTAAGTGCATTATGTGACAGATCAAGAGATTCCAGGCTGTAATTTTGGTTGATAAAAGCCTGAATGGGAATTGTGCCAGTGAAGTTGTTGAAAGAGAAGTTAATATTGGTCAATTTTGTCGAGTTAAAAAGGCTAGGAAGGAGGAAACCGTTAAGTTGATTAAGGCTAAAATCAATGTCTTTTAATTCTGGATATGTTCCTAGAACAGGCGGGATAACTCCTTCTAGCGAGTTGTTGGAAATCTTTAATGAAGTAAGCCTCAAGAATTGAGAAGTTTGGTTCGGCAATGGCCCAGTCAATGCATTAGAGCTTAATGCAATAACCTCAACATAATCTCCCCAACTCTGAATTTTGGAGAAGTTTCCCGTGAACATATTATTACTCAGGTCTATGACAGAACAATGCCCTACTCTAGCAGGCAAGGGGCCTGATAGCCTGTTAGAAGACAAATTTAGATTCTTCAGATTCCCAGAAGTAATACTTCCTACCGGACCTGTCAGAAGACAAAACAGCAAGCAACTTAATTGAGTATTGATACTGGGGAAGTTGTAATATAAGACGAGAATCAAACCAAAAACTTGACTAGACAATATCATGAACCATTTATGTGAAGCACTCCATCTTAAGCAATCAAACAAACTGATGGAAATATTAGTAGAGATTTTATTTAATTTAGTTTCCAAATTTGATACTTATTTTAGAAAGCATGATTAAGGTTTGGTCAATTAGATTTTATTAGATGTTTCCTACTTAGAATATGATTTTTGAAATCCTATATAAATGGGGCTAATGCATTATAATACACACAACTTGATATGAATAAAAATTGACACTTTCTTCCCCAATTTATCTTCTGCTTGTCTAATTCTTCTCTTCCTTCGATCTCCCCCTCTTCTTCTATTTCCCCCCTCCTCTCTCTTCTTCTCTTCCCTTTCCCCTCCTCCTATAATTTTACTATTTTGTTTGATTGCATCCTAAATCAACAAAATTTCATGTTTAAATTCAAAACTTATATACCCACATCCATGACCACGATCGTTGTCATGGTCACGAGGTCATTGATGTAATTTAAAAATGAAGCCATTCCTTACTCTCTCTCCTTTTTGCTTCAGTTTTCTATCCTTCTGTTTTGTACACCAAGCATCCTAACAAGGATACTTATTTTCCAAAAATAATTATAACTTCAAAAAATATTCACAGATTCGTGTCAATGGTTTTACATGGAGATGGCTCTTCAACAGTATTGATTTTGGATTCAGTAGTTGCTTTTCTCCCTCTCTATCAGCCAAAAGGATATAAATAGACTTGTTCGTTAACATATAATTTTGCAAGAATTTCTAGTAAAACAGATCTTTTACACACATGAAAGTAGGGTGACTTTTGTTATTTTGATGGGGCAGTCAGTATCTTCTGCAAGACTTCTGAAGTCTCAGAATTTGATCCAATACCACAGTGCTAGATTTGATATTGGCATTACAATAAGGAAATTCACACATGTTTTCAGTCATATTAGTAAATGCAACAAATTTTCATTTTTCGTACGGTAATATTTTTGTCTCTAAATATAATTTTTTATATGGCAACCTATTATGGCTGAAACATTTAGCATTCGATAGTCTAAAAATGGTTTGACCAAAGACACCATTAAACTCTGATAAAACGTGCCCTTCGACAATCACAGTAGTAAATTGAAAAGGTTATAGTAATGCCTTAAAACCGACATACCTTCTATCTGATTAAGGCTGAGATCCAATTCAGACAAGACCATTGAGCTCTCCTGCAAAAGACCTTGTGGCAGTGAACCAGACAACAGATTGTTGCTAAGCTTGATTACTTGGAGGGAGACAATAAAAGTAAATTTAGGAACATTTCCAGTAAAATGACTATTACTCGCATCAAACACCTCTAGACTGTCGAAAAATGGCATTCCATCATGAGGGAAGAGCTCTCCAGTCAAGTTATTATGACTGATATTCAAATACTGAATCGAAGAAACAAATTCGGAAGTCCCTATTCCGAGGTCCAAAGATCCCGAAAATTTATTGCTGCTGAGGTCAACATACATCACACCACCTAAATGAGCCAAAAGGCCCATTACATTTCCTGAAAAATCATTAGAGTGCAAATCCAGATATTTTAACAGCTCAAGATCAGTAAAACCAGAGGGAATTTCTCCAGCCAAGTTGTTTGATGAAAGATTTAAGAGCATCAAGTTCTTTAAACCGGTCAATAGAGAGGGAATTGATCCAGTAAAAAAATTTCGAGAAAGATCCAAACTTGCCAATGATTCAATAAAACCGACCTCTTTCGAGATCATGCCGGTGAATTGATTGTTAGAAATGGATAAGTTTTGAAGCATTTGGAGTCCGGAAATAGCAGAGAAACTAAATTCTCCAACTAGACCTAAATCATTCAGTATGATTGAAGTCACCCTGCCGTCAATGCAACTTATACCAAACCAATCCTTGGGGCACCCGTCAGATGCCAATGACTTGGGATCCCATGAATCAAGAACTTTCCCTGTAGGGTCGTTCTGAATTCCATTTTTTAACTCCACCAACGCGTCTGTGTCTAGTTTCCCTACTGTTATTTTTACAAACAACATTAACACAAAACAAATGGACTGCATTCTTCCCATAAAACCAATGAAGGTATATTGGACTCGTGGACTTAGAAACTGAGGGAAGCGGCTAAAGAATTTCAAGAAATAACTCCATATAACTTCAAGAAATTGAAAAGCTCAGTAGACAACTAAATTCACAAATATGACAACCAATTCCAAAAATATGAAACTGCAAGAACAAAATTTAAATTACAGAACAATTATTTTCCACAGAAACAAAATCTCGAAAAGGTATTCCTCCTCAGCGAAGCAACCATTCGAAGTACACGGTAGCTGAATCAACAGAATTGCAATAATTCCAACAAATCATTCCACAATAAATACACGCCCCACTCAACTTTTTAACTAACCCAAAAGGCCAAAATAAAAAGGAATCCAACTTTCTTGACAGTAAAACCCTACATTTTTTATATGCAGCGAAAAAGGGACTCAGTTAATCAGAACTAACAGTAAATGACAATAATGACTCAAAAGGAAAACAAACCCATAATTTCTCAACCCACAATTACAAAAGCACAAGCACAGTAAAAAGCTCTCTTACTTGTCAAGAAGCGAGAAAAAAGCCAAAGCAGTAAAAATGAAATTCCCAAAAGCTTTCCAATGAGGTTGACACTACAATGTAGTATTTAATGTAATGTTGGGTGTCAAGAAAATGACAGTGACGTGAGTAAATAATGGTTGTGCTTGAAGGGGCTATCTCGAAGAGCATCACAGATGAGGACTAGGAATTGGTAGGTGGGGTTAGTTATACTGTAAAGAAGCTGCTAGACAAAGAGTGGGAGAGTTACACTGTGCACTCTCTGTAGTGTGTCTTTGACGTGTGGGTGATGTTTGACTTGTCTGTTTTTGTGTGTCAAGATTTATGGTATTAAATCGGGCCTATGGATCAGATCAGAAGGGCATGTCCCATTACATAAATTACAAGAATAATGCATAATAAGACAATAATTAAGAATTACGAAATGTATACAAGAAATAAGACAAACAAAAGCACGCGCAAATTCTAAATTCCAAATTATTTGAAATTCACGGCTAATGACTCCGAGTTTTATGCCGAACTCAACCTACTTTGCCCGAGCTCAATCTCTCACGTATCACCCACCTCTAAGGTTGGGTCACTTTAAGGTCGGGGCATAGCACTTGTGTCGGGCCGTATGTACAACTATGTGACATTCAGGGCAAAAACATCATATTCTAACTGCAATCCTAGGGATCATTATCCTAATTGTTTAACCTACTCCCACTTTGACTCAAACTTAAATGGAACACTTTGAATAAAACTCAAACATCTTGTCCAATAGAAAAAACACTATAGGTAGCTCAATCACTCTTCTACCACCAACACCTATAATTACAGGGTCAAGGCTCATTATTCAAGTACGCACTAAATTCCTCGTCTAACTTAAGCATCTGAGGGGTCGAAGATAACACACTTCATTACCTTTGTTTTAGGTATCAGAAGATCGTTCGTGTTCATCCACAGCCATCAAGCTTGACGTTCCAACCCTCAATTCAAGGTCTAACAAGTACAATTTTTGGTAGCATCATTGGCGCTGTCTAAAGGAAACACTACCAAAAGCCATGGTTAACACGCGCTCAGGTTTTTCCACAACAAGCTCATCTGTTCCAAACCATCCTCCTCCCTTTGAAGATTGTCCTGTCCCTCAAGAAGAGTAATCAGAGATACCAGCAACTCCTCCAGCCGTTGTTATCACTGAAGCCTTCAAGGAACTCCACTAGAAAGTTGCCGCACTAACCCAATTGTTGAGTAAGAGAAATTCACACCAGTCGCATACCCCAACTCTTGAAGGTGGCTTTATGGCAGATGCTTGAGCTCGAGTCCCATGCACAATTGATGATGGTGGGGTTGGGACCTCGAGTGTACCACAGATGGTCCTGGGCTTGAGGTCGGTTACGATGGACTCCGCCCCGAACTCGCTAGTATTATTCAAGAAGGGATAGCAGTGGGTATGCAGCAAAACACTCGGGCAACAACAGGATTCACCCCCAATACGCCGTTTACCCCAGAAGTTCTCTCATATTCCTTCCTGGACAGGTTCAAGTATCCTCGGATAAAGGAATATAATGGGACAACCAATCCCATTAACTATCTCAATGCGTATAAAATTATTATGAACATACAAGTCGCACCAGATACGGTGATGTGCAAGGCCTTTCCCTAGACTCTCACTAATGTGGCTAGAGTTTGGTTTTCCACATTGGAACCCAACTCCATCGCCTCCTTCTCAGATATGGCTGATATGTTTTTCGTTTTCTTTGCAAGTAACAAGCGAATCGAGAAGACAGACACATCACTCATGTAGATGTGCTAAGGGCTAAATGAAATACTTCACAATTTCATTACCAGATTCAATAAAGAAAGACTTCAGATCCCCGATCTACATATCAAAGTCGTGGTCTCGACCTTGACATATGCCATAATGTGAAGCATTTAAGATGTATTTATCCAAAACTCCTCCAAGTTCAGTAACTGAGCTACTTACCCAAGTCGAGAAATACATTAACATGGAGGAAACCTTGGTCCCAAGAAGAAATGCTTCATCATCAGAAAGGTTCGAACAGCAAAGGCCGCATGAGTCCAATCTGCGATGAAATGCCTCCGGGCCAAGCCAAGACAAGACCTCTCCTTGACACCCTTCACTCGTTTGAATACCTCGAGGTCCAATATTTTGATGGAGATCAAGCACCTGAAGGAGCTTAACTAGCCTCCTAGATTGCCGTCTCCACCCGACTCTCGTAACAAGAGCAAGTACTGTGATTTTCATCGAGACCATGGACATACAACTGAGGATTGTTTTGCTTTGAAGGGTAAAATTGAAGCTCTTATAAAAAAGGAATTTTTGGGCTCTTATGTCAGCTATGACAAGCACCCAAGGAACAATTAGAACATAGAAAAGATCCTAGAAGGTCGAGAAAACGAGCAGCCTACAACAGGTACTATCAATATTATTGTTGGAGGAATGGCCTTGGGGGACGATTCTAGCAATGGGTGCAGACAGTATGCCAGGCAGTCTCCAACGTCACAAAAACAGATCTTGGTTCCATGGAGGACATCGCTTTCAGAGCAAGGGATTGAAAAGGTATATCATTCTCTCATGATGATGCTCTAGTTATATCGATCATCATTGCTAATTTTGGGGTCAAGAGAATTCTGGTAGATAACGGAAGTGCTACTAATGTATTATCTTATGAATCTTTTGTGCAGATGGGTATCTCAGCCGAATATTTTAAGCTGGTCAAAACACCTCTTCAGGGGTTTTGAGGCAGGCTCATCACCCCAGAGGGTATCGTCGGGTTGCCCTTGACATTGGGATCAGAAGGTAGACAAGTAACGTAGATCACAACCTTTGAAGTTGTCAGTACTCCAATGGTCTACAACGCCATACTCGAAAGGCCACTACTCAATAGGATCAGAGCTATTATCTCAACCTTTCACTTGGCTATGAAGTTCCCTATGAGTAATGGAATTGGAGTGGTTTGAGGCAGCCAAAAACAATGGCACGACAATGTTACGTGACTAGTGTCCGGAAGATCAAAGACAATGTCATGCAACTTTCAGAGCTCAAGCTCGAGCATGAGAATCATGGGAGACTTACTCCAGTAGAGGGGTTGGCAGAGGTCGTACTCGAGCCTTACAGAAAAGTGACTATCGGACGAGGGCTTGATGTAACAGTCATGATTGAACTTATAAGTTGTCTCTCCTGAAACATTAATGTATTTGCTTGGAATGTCAAGGATATGCCTGGAATTGACCCTAAGATAGCAATGTACAGACTCAATGTAAATCCAAAGGCAAGACCTGTTAAGCAGAGAAAAAGGCAGTTTGCACCCGAAAGGCGAAAAGTCATAAGGGAGGAAATTACCAAGCTTGTAAATGCACAATTCATTCATGAGGTACAAAACCCTGATTGACTCGCCAATATAGCTCTTGTTAAAAAGGCAAACGAAAAGTGGTGGGTCTGCATTGACTTCACAGACTTGAATAAACCATGCCCTAAAGATAGTTATCCTTTGCCTTGGATTAACAACCTCGTGGACAGCAAGCCAGACCATATGTTGTACAACTTTTTGGGTGCTTTCTCCGGATATTACCAAATATTCATAGTTGAGGAAGATCGGGAGAGGACCTCATTTATGGCGGATTCAGTGATATATTGCTATAAAGTCATGCCTTTTGGATTGAAGAATGCAGGGGAGACATATCAAAGGCTAGTTAACAAAGTTTTCGTCAACTTAATCGGGAAGACTATCGAGGCGTACATAGATGATATGGTTGTTAAAATCAAGCAAGTGAATGACCATATCTCTAATCTTGAGAAAATATTTGTTATGCTGCGGATGTACAACATGAAGCTCAACCCTGCAAAATGTGCATTTGGAGTAGCATCGGTAGGGATGTTAAACGGGTCGAAAGGCTTGTCGGCTCGGCTCATTAAAACTCGAATCGTGGGCTACTCGAGCTAGTCAAATGATGAGCCCGGGCCGAGCAGGGGGCTCAATCCCATGGTCACTCGTGGGTCGTATGCTCAAGAGCCATTTTTTACGAGCTCACGAGCCTCGTCAGAAACTATGTAAATTTACAAAAAAAAAAGTTAAAAATGTGCAAAAAAAATTTTTAAAAATCACGAGCTCGCGAGTGGCCCGTGGGCTAGGCTCGGCTCGCGAGCTCATCCTCGAACAACGAGCCAAGCTTGAGCTTGGCTCGTCTTTCACGAGCCACGAGCCACGAGCTCGAGTCGAGCTCGTGGGTTAAAGAACCGAGCTGTGCTATCCCTAAGCATTGGGAAAGTTCTTGGGTTTTATGATTGCTTGCATAGGAATAAAAGCTAATCTTGATAAAATCCAAGATTTGATGTCTATGGAGCCCCCTAAGTGTAAAAGAGATGTTCAAAAGTTGACAAGTTGTATAGTAGCACCGAAAAGATTTGTCTCCCGAGCAGCAGACAAATGCTTCCCCCTTTTCAAATTGCTCAGGGAAAATAAAGGTTTTGGTTGGAATAAGGAATGTGACTTAGCCTTCCAGGAGCTCAAACAAGCATTAGCCATAACCCTCGATTCTTACCAAGTTAGAGCCTGGTGATACATTGTTGTTATATTTAGTTGTTTCCTAGAATGCAATAAGTAGAGTATTAGTAAAGGAAAATGAGAGGGTTCAGCAACCTGTCTATTATGTAAGCAAGGTATTCCTTGATGCAGAAACCCGGTACACCCCTGTCGAATAGCTTGTTCTAGTTTTGGTGGTAGTCGCTAGGAAATTACGGCAACACTTCGAGTCTCATCCAACTATTGTATTCACAACCGTCCTCTTAGACATATACTTCAGAAGATGTCTCAGAAAGACTGCTAAAGTGGGCAATTGAACTCGAGAAATTTGACATAGACTTCAAACCACGACCCTGTATTAAAGCTTAAGTCTTGGCCGACTACATAGCAGAACTCACACCAAGATCTCAAGAGACGAAGGACGAAGACCCGAGCATGACCTCCAAAATATGGAAGATCTTTATGGATGGGGCATCCAATAGTTTGGGCTCAGGGGCCGACGTCATCATTACTGGTCTAGACAAAACCACGGAAGTCCAATGTGCACTCAGATTTGAATTTGAAGCCACCAACAACGAGGCAGAGTATGAAGTTGTTGTCATAGCTCTCGAGCTTGCCAAAAGTCTTGAGCTGGAACACGTCAAAATTTTCAATGACTCAAAGCTAATTGTTGGGCAGATTGAGGGATCTTTTGAAAAAAATGATGAAAAAACGAGTTTGTACTGTTTGACAGTACACGACCTTATGAGACAGTTCATTAGTTGTGAAAT